CGCGGAGCGGCTGGGCCCGTGAGCCATGGCCGCTGAGCCTGCGCGTCCGGAGCCTGTGCTCCACGACGGGAGAGGCCATAACAGTGAGAGGCCTGCATACCGCAAAAAAAAAAAAAAAAAAGAATGAAATTTTGCCATTTGCAGCAAAATGGATGGACCTAGAGGGTAATATGCTAAGTGAAATAAGTCTGACAGAGAAAGACAAATATTGTATGATTTCACTTATATGTGGAAACTAGAAAACAAAACAAATGAACAAACAGAAACAGACTCACAGATATAGAGAACAAACAGGGAGGAAAGGGGGGTTAGGGGGTAAGTGAAATAAGTGAGGGAGATTAAGGGGTACAAAATTCCAGTTATAAAATAAATGAGTCATGGGGATGTAGTGTCCAGCATAGGGAATATAGTCAATATTATTGCAGTAAGTTTGTGCTGTGACAAATTACTAGACTTATGGTGATCAATTTATAATGTATATAAATGTTGAATCACTATGTAGTGTACCTGAAACTAACATAATATTGTAGGTCAACTCTGCTTCAATTTAAAAAAGAAAGAAAAAATCCTTTTACGGAGTAAATGCACAGCTCTCATGGGCTTTAAAGATAAACACAAGACTTTGAAGCCATCTGAAGCTTGAGTTGGATCTCCTCAGTCTATGGCCCCAGGCTCTGGGGAGGTCCTGCTCACTTCACAGTGCACAGTGTGTGTGTGCAGTTGTAAGAAACCTCTTCTGCAATATTCTCCCCAGTACCTCTCGTTACCTGCTGTGTGTTAGGAGCTCAACTCTGGTTGAGTCTGTTGAATGACTAAACCTGTGATTTATGTAAGTGATTAATAGGAGTGGTGGGCTGGTAAGAAAGATGCTTCTCTGAGGAACTCTGTGTCCAAGTCTGACTCTTGTTCGCTTAGTTTAGCCTCAGAGAGAAAAGCCATAATCCTGTGGCTTCTTAGAAAATGCTAATTGAGTTACTCAAGTCACATTTCAGCCCTCACAGAAAATTAAATATCTTCAGAACAGCTTGATCCTTTATTCTGAAACCCTTGTGGCTTAAGCACCTTTCTTCCATCTCCGGGAGTCCCTTTTCAGCGTTCCCGTGTGTGACAGTAATGAGCGCTAGAGAAATGCTCAAATGGATGGAATTACAGGCACAAAAGCCCTGTTGAGAGGCACAGGAAAAGCCTCTTTCTTTCTGATTTTTGTAGTGATAGAATGAGAGCCAAGCTGTTCAGTGGATGTGGGCTGGAGCTATTGAGACCACTTAGGAGAGACTGGCGGGATCGCATCTATGCTGGAAATGGGTTGAGGAGGTTATTCTTTGGCACCTAAAAATGCTTTTCAAATGCCAGCCCCTTCGTTTTTCATGACAGCTTGAAATTGGGCCTCCTTTTACACAGAAAGCCCTTCAATTAAAACTTAGGTGTGAAAAGTGCAAGTTGAAAGGCAAGGAGGTACCTAGGGATAGGCCAAGCTGCCTGGATTGGGGGCGGGGAGGTGACAGGACCCAGGACTGAATTGGGGAACTTCGGGGAGAGGGGCAGAGAGCCTTGGTCCAGAACTCCCAGAAAATGCCTTCAGGAAGGATTGCCAGGGCAGACCCTGGGCTTGGGGCCTGAGAACAAGATCTAGCTCCACACTAGATTCATCTTTTAAAAAGCAGGTGCATGTGACTCGAGGCTAGTCCAGCTGTGACCATGAAACCCCATTCCTGTCCCTTTCCCAGGACTCAGCTGTGGTTGCTCTGGGGGCAAAGACAGATGCCGTGTAGTTTTGTGCAGCTGGTGACATCTCAGGTGAATAGTGAGGGCACTTCACTAGCTAGAGTAGCCTGGAGTTTTTGCTAGTGCAGAGTTTGTCAAATGACATGTGGTTTTCTGGATGCATCTTACCCCTGA